ATATGTAAAGAGATGTTCATCGGTGTATAATCATCAAATAACAAGGAGGTACATTTGATATCAGAGAAAGTAAATGATACAGCATTGCGGAGATACATAGGAGACGTGAAAGAAATACAAAGAAACACGGTATGAAGGCCAACACGGAATATCTGTGCAAATGGTGCCTTGAAGAAAAGTTGTAATAGAGATACGAAGTCTCTCGTCTTCTACCGTTGCGATTGGTGTCGCTGCCTCCAGACATTGAAGATTCCATGGCTGGCTGCTTCTGAGGAAGGGGATTTCGAAGCTGTCTTGGAGTTGTTGGGTGTCAAGGATTCGACGATGAAGGTGGTCGTGCTGGGGACGCTGCTGAGAGGTTGAGCAAAGGCGGCGTACGATGGTGGGGTGGGGACCTGGGAAGTATCGATTGGGCGATTGGTGGCGGAGCCCGACGAACAGGCAGCTAGCGATTCAGCCGTTCTGTGAGGCGAAGCTGGGAGCGTATGAACACCTGCTATTGTTGGTGGTGAAGCTGGCGAATCTACTACGTCGTTCACTCCCCACATTGGTTGAAGAGTTGGAGTCTCAGCTATTGGCGTTCCAGTTTATCGAGATCCTATTATTCATACTTTATACCTCGTACACAAATATCAATGATCATTTGAGATTAAAAAAAATTATTTTTAGATACTACACGTTAATCAAATTGTAGGATTATGAGTGTTAAAAAAGGACTATTTCTCACACCACAGAGGAGGTGCTTCCATCTGTTTAACAGTCAGTAAAAGGAAATATATTTTTTGCAAAGTTAAACTTTTGAGCATCGGTGAGTACTAACGGATACATGACCTTGAGCTCATCAACCACATGAAAACGGCGATTTTTGCGTATAAAATGCATATATTCGTGAAATTAATGAAGAATTAAAAGGTATGAAACTGTTACACAGGATACATTTCTCTGACGTGTGACAAAGTAACTCTCAGTTTTTGATTGGAGCATGAACAAAGTAATTGAACCGCATTCCATGTATCCGATTATCTAGGCCTTTTAACCATAATCTTTACTCAACCTAACCCTAACGTGAAAATATCCCTAAACAAACCTTAATCTAACTCGAACCAACCCTAATGTCGCCCTCATAAGGTTAATCTCACCCTAACCTGTCCTTAGCCTAAGCATTAACTTAATCTTTCCCAAACCTAACGTGAAACTAGCCAGATATCCCATTTTATAACAACACCTCATCAAGCATATTTTATTCAGGATTACAAGGTCATTGGTGCGATTGTACTTCATTGGTACTTACTGGTGCTTAAAGTTTACCTTGGACATGTATATTTCAAAGTAATCTATCTTGTTAATAGGCAATACAGTATTCTCGTTCAAAGTATGCTGTTGTCACCTTTGCCTTTTTGAGATGTTATAATTCTCTGAAATAAAAATAGTAATTGCAGAAATTTCTTTTCTTTTATGAATTTGAATAAAACAAGAACACCAGGTTGTACAAAATTAGATACTACCATCATTTATTTCGTTGCCTTGCCTTCAGCTCGGCTGTGTACAGTTTAAACAAATTATTTAAGTTCATGTATAGAACAACTTTTATCATATTTAATTCAATTTTAGATTTTCCCGTCGATTATTGATTGAATCGAACTGGTCGGTCTTAGGTTGACAAGTTGACTCCTTGTGCATATGCTTCGACGATGTCTGGTCATGTAACTTGAAGTCAATTGGTGGATAGTGACTAGCAGTGCAATCCAGGATGCGCATTTCGTCGGTCCAATCAATTGACGGGAGAATCTAAAATTGAATTAAATAATTAATATGACCAGTTGCATAAGAGGTGGCTGTCATGACCCAAGTAGTCTAGTGGATAGCACTTTGGCGTTTAAAACTATGGGTATTGGGTTCGAGCCTCGGTGGGAACACCATCACTCACTAGAGATTGGGTACATCCACATAACGAGTTCCAAACAGGACGAAACATGCATCCTGGATTCCACTGCCAGTCGCCATCCACCAGTTAACTTCAAATTACATGACCAGACATCGTCGAAGAATCTGCACAAGGAGTCAACTTGTCAACCTGAGATAGACCAGTTCGGTTCGATCAATAATCGACGGGAAAATCTAAAATTGAATTAAACATGATAAAAGTTTTTCTATACATGAACTTAAATAATTTGTTTATGCTGTACACAGCTGAGCTGAAGAAAAGCCAACGAAATAAATGATGGTAGCATCTGATTTTCTACAACCTGGTGTTCTTGCTTTATTCAAATACAGTGTTCTTACAAAATGCTAGGACGTAAACACTGACTCTAGGAATTGGTTTTTTCACTGTTCACTAAGCGACGAATACAGTCTTTTTTCAATGAGATCCCTGATGCAACACTTCATTACATAGTGCTTTCCACTAGGTTACCTCTTTTAAATCCAGAAGTGCTGCAGCAATTCACTCATTTGAGTCACAACAGAATACAACCCACTTTATGGCAAGAGTGAAGAATAGATACATCACAGCTATATGACCATAAAGCAAGCAATCAGATTCTTTTAGGTAAAAAATTGCTATTTATAGTATAAAAAGGTATATTTACAGAACATATAGGGCATATGTCTCTAATATACTGCGAAAACAGGTTCCAGTTTTCATACGAGTCTTCAAAGACATATGCCATTCTAATCTGTTTCTTTAGATGGGCCTAAAATCTTTCTGTAGAATTTGTATGAGTACCACTTATAGTATCTACCAATGCTGATGAATAGTGCTTCACATTTATAATGAATGTAGCCTGCTGATGATAGTTACGCATATCTTTTCCACTCCTCTGTATGAAAGGTGGTGGGAGGACTGTTCATTGTTTTATTGGTATTAAAACATAGGCACTTCTGTTTGGAATGCTTTCTATTAATCCTCTTTGCAGATTTCTATCGTACAGTACCACCACCCAAATATGATTTACTGTTCTCTTACCTCGATTCATTTTTCTTTGATAAGTATTGTTTCATCAACGTGAACGACGATACCAATCCCTGCAAGTACACAAGTAATTCCATCGATTTTTTAGTGAGGCAATATATCCTGATAGTGCTGATAACACTGCACTCTTAACACATTCGTATTCTCTGTTTCTGTAGTTGTAGCATATACTGGTGTGATGTGTCTAGTCCTTTCTTTGGTGCAGACTGAATTCTACCAGTCATGTTTACAATGTGGCCACCATTCTAGGTAGCTCGCCATCACAATGCACATCGATTTGATGATGATGGTGGCCACATTGAAAACCTAACTGATAGAATTCAGTCTGCACCAAAGAAAGGACTAGACACATCACACTAGTTAATAGTGTCCAATCAAAGTATCCAATACAGTCCTACAGGAGGTTAATCGCGATCCCGAATAGCTACCCCAGTGGTAACGTCTCTGACTACAGGTCTCACTGGGTGACGCGGGTTTGAATCTCAGAAGCGACATGATTTTCTTCAATGAAGTTGCAGATACGCCTTGCTGACTGGTGAGTGCCAACTAGAACGAAACCTAGGTCAAGCGAGGCTTCCTGTGGCTGCTTGCCTGCAACCGTCTAAGACACTGGTCGTTTCAGTAGCCAGTTTTGGCGTATAACAATATTGTATTAAGGGAAAGTTACGATTTCGAGAAGAAAGTGTCTAAAAAATCACCATAATGTGCAACTTACCAACTCTTACCGACTTCTTGCTATACGACACTGATTGCATCTGAATGCATAGTCAATCAATAGCCTGGCAATACTTCTAAAGAGTCATTATCCCTCCACATGTGCATATTTCAGTTTTCCTTATCAACCCAACTGCCACCCAGAAGTCAAAAAAGACAAATCTGGGTGAAACTTGCAACGAAGATTATGAACAGCATCCATTTGTAATGTTCAGGGTCATATGACTGTGGTGTCTATTCTTCAGTCGTATTCATTTTATTCTGACATGATCAGTGAACAGATATTTTGCATTTCGTTATGTTGATGTCGTTTAGTTAGGAACTTCCATATGAACTTCAGGGAATATATTTCGAGGTCAGTAGTCATTGATGATCGATACCAAGGTAGATATGCAGTCACAGAAGCTATGAACACTGAAGTTGGAGGGGGGGGCGTTGGAGTGAGGATAATAACTCACTGATTGTTGTGAGAGATGATTGTTCAGTGAAGTGAGACCTGGCCATTGAGAGTGGAAGACATGAAAGGGAAGGCTAGCTAGCTGTCTTTGATCATATGTGCTTGTGTTCTATCTCCCGTGTGAAGTGGTATCATAGGGTGAGCAATATTGAGGTTAGGCATCGGTCGAGTGCTAGGTAAGTAGGAGGGGAAATCAATCGACGAGGCTGTGAAATTACATCAACTGAGATGGTTAGGACATGTGTTACGTATGGCTAGTTATCGCCTTCCTCGGACGACGGGCAATGTTAGCTGATATAGGGCCAGACTGGAAAAGAGCTAGCGGCGGTCAAGCGAAAACATGGCACCAGTCAATGAAATCCAAAACAGTTAGTTTAAGCCAGTCAGTCACGTAGAAAGGTGTAGACTTCCCTGGTTGGGTTCCTAGGGATGGTAAAAACCCATGGCTGGAGACAATTGGTGATATGACTCAAAATCGTTCTCAATAGCTGATTCAGATGCATCCACTCCTTGTGACTTATAATATCCAATTAAACTATATTGTTCTTCGTTATTACTATTCCTTTTGTCTCATATCTCTGTCTACTGTCTCTATTTTGTATTTCTTCTACTTTCTTCTCCTGCTTTCTGTGCTAATTGGAGTAAGTGTGGTGACTTGAACTGCCGCACATCGATGCAAAGTTCTATGTTGAAAAAAGACAGACAGACAGAGAGATCAGTGAAGCTAATCATTTCCCCTATGAGTTTTATTAAAATTTCATGTTAAAGCATTTTTTTCCCCCCGATATTTCTAACATCTAATGTTTGTACTTGAGGTGTTGATTTATTAACGAATACATTATTATAAATTTATTTCAGCGTTCAATGTATCACATAAACTTGGATGACTCACAAAATCCTCGACTGCCTCAGCCTATCCAATCATCATCACCGAATTATCGTCGACATCTCCCTCCACATGATGATGATTATCATCATCATCATCATCCTCATTTATCTAACTTAAATAAATCCTGGAAACATATGGAACCAGATCAACAAAGATTTGACTATGCGACGTCTATTTCACTAAACAATATGAATCAGCCATCATCAGTAGAGAATGTATCTAATGTTCATCTAGCAAAAAAGCATAATAATAATAATAGTCATAATTCTGATTTCAATCCTGAACATCCTTTGTACACACATGATAAACCGAGTCAAAATGAACACGAGGCTAGCAAAAAACAACCGCCTTCTACCCTGCCAGTAGCTAAACCACGACAAAAACGTTTAAAACGACTTAAATCAAGTCAGATACATCATTTAGAAGAGGAGAGTATATCTATCAATACAGATGAAAATGCTTATTTTAATAATAATAATAATCAATTCCCTGTGCCGCAAAATAATTCTCAAGATAATCTTTTAAATGATGATGATAATGAACTGAATGATAGACAATGGGCTTTACTCAGTCGTTTACCTGTTACTATGGAGGTGATTATTGATAAAAGTCCTAAAGGATTTGGATTTAGTATTGCTGGAGGACATGATAATACAATCGGTTCAAATGATGACGATACGGATATCTATGTGACTCGTGTGAATCCAGGCGGTCCTGCTGACTATGAGTCGGGTTTACAGTAAGTTTGAATACATAAATATGTATATATGTGTCATTATTTTTATTGCATTTCTTTTAACCTTAACCTTTAGTACATTATACTATTTTACATTATGTTGGATTTTGTTGTGCTGTATGGGATTCTTTCAAGTCATCCAGAAGATACGTGAGGATAGATGATATTTTTAGATTCTTATTCCTGCACCTTCCCAGTGGAACAAAGGGCTTCAAGCTAGAGACTGGAAGTTTCGGTAGCAGTGGGGATTACTTTTACAGGGTGGGGTTGCTAGCCTCATACTCAACCTTCCCTCTTTACCGGTTTTATTACTGTATTAGTGAGGTAAAGGAGTGTGTCGGTGGCCGGTGATCGAATCTCCGACCACATGCCACCAACGCACGAGGGTAGATGAGATTGATAATTATTATAACACTATTTTCAAGAGTTAGCTTGTATGGATTAGGTTTGTTTCAAATTTGACCACGGATTGATATCAGTTAGAGAGAACCATTAAAAGCTAACAGGGAGTACTGGACAGCTGTTTCGTTCTAGTGCTCGGGACTTATCAGCAGTATATGAGGGATCCTGATTCAGGACCTTCTGGTTACAAGTCAAGCTTGTAGGCTATTTCACAACTGTGTCCCGATTCAATGGCCAGCCACTGAATTCTAGCTTCTACCAATTCGTGACTTTAGTGCAACCAGCAGTGAATGACATCACTGGCGAGTATTTGTCCTCATTCCCGACCTAGTGGGACCCTACTGGTTACGAATTCTCACTCGAACTCCAGTCAACTTCGTCCTGTAGTCGGTCACTAGTGTTAGCCTGAGATTAATTTTCAAGTGTTGGTTTGACTTTTAACCGGAAAGTCCTGGATTCGAACCCTAGTGGGTGCGCGCTGGTGATGAGTCCCAAACTAGGACGAAACGACTGTCCAATACTCCCTATTGGTTTTCAGTGGTTCACTCTAACTGATATCAAGGCTGTGGCCAAACTTGAGTCAGATAGAATCCCAACAAACTAACTCTTGGAAATCATAACATTCTTCTTCTTTTAGATCCTGAGTGGGTTTCAGCAGCACACCTCCATTTCCCCCTATTTTTTGCAGTCTTTATCAGCTCGTTTCATTGTTGCCCACAAACTTTCATTTCTCCCTCACACTATTTCCTTCATGTCACCCTCCAGTGCTTGGCACTTGAGGGGCACTAATATTGTGTAGCTGCTTTATCTTCACTGGTTAAAGCAAAGATATATCCTGTGAATTATTGACTAAAAGTTGAATTTCTTGTCCAGTCAGTTATAAACTGATTCACATTTTATAGATATAATGTACTCTTTATGCCAATAAGGAGTTTGAGCTTTATTATATCATGCGTATAGACACTAACCTATGTATACCTCTTCAGAGTTTATCCGAGACTAGTTGAGAAGATTGTGGATTGTTACCATTTGGAACTTACCATATAATATTTATCAGTGGGAGAATTTATTGGTCTGTCTTTGAAATCTGACGCTATTAGTATTTAACTATAGCTCTGGTACTTTGAACTTCTCTATACGATTTCGGACTAGTAGTCGGAGACTTCTTAGTTTAACTGCATGTCTCGGTCTTACAAAAAGGATAAGAAAAAAAGCGTCATGGATGTTTAGCATACATTTTATGTTTTGTACTTGTCATTTACAATTTGATGATATTTAACAAAATATGTTACTGATTGCATGACGTCTATATACTACTGATTGGCTGACATGAGTAGTTAGATACCATTCAGATCAACTAGTAGTAGTGCTTGCTAGCCGGACAGAAGTGATCTAAACACTGGACAGCCGTTTCACTTGCTTGGGGCCGAGGTCTTCAGTGGTGTGTACCCAGTATGACTTAGCTCAAGGAACCAGATGGTTTCAACTGATTCTGTCCTCTGAAATGAGTCAAACCCGCTACATCGCTGAAGATCTCGGTTGCAGACGAGTGGAACAGCAGTCCGGTGTTTTGATTACTTCCCCCTGGCCGACCTGCACTACTGTTTGATGTGAGTGGTTTCCAACTACTCATTTAGGTCAGTCAATCAGTAGTACATATAGTGTCATGCATTTTTGCTTGCTTTCTTGACTGCTATGCCATTTGTGGTATCAATCAGATGACAGATTGTGATCTGAATGATTTGGGTTTCTTATGGAAACTGTGGTGAAATCGCACCTGAAAGTGTGTAAATCGCGGATTCGATTTCATTTGATTTACATTACTGGGTATCAGTGTTTTTAGAACAGTTTCTGTTATAATGGAGTGTTACTGTTTTTGTTGGCTGTCGTCTAACTTGACTATAGTTCGCCTCCAAATACGACTCAACAGCCAAATGATCAAGGTAGGCACAGAAGTCAGAATTAATTGCGACAACTGTGACACCACCAACAACAACCTTTACCATTCACAATTATTATTATCTTATTATTATTATAATTCCCTTGGATTCCAAGTGGAACGTAGGGCTTCAATAACACATCTCCACTTTCTTCTATTTTATGCCATCGTCTTCAGCTGGGCTCACAATTGACTAAATTCTCATCTCTTCCTTACACGATCTCCATATCACCCTGTGACGATCCATTCGCACTCCCTATTGGGATTCCATTCGAATGATGGTCAGCATTGCGCGCAATGTCATTCGACGGTTTCCCAATGTATGCCCGATCAGTCCACCTCTACTTTCTCCTTTATATTTGTTGAGCGATAATCTCTTGGTTGGTTTGTTCCCAGCCAGCCGGAATTTCTTGTTACTAATTCCTTCTGGCCATTTGATCTGTAGTACGAAGCCAGCCGGCGAAGGTGGCAGCTGTTGATGATAGTCTGCAGTGACTCGTTAGAAATCCTTTTCTTGACACGCACTGCAAGTTTCTGCCCCGTATAGAAGGACCGACTTGACATCGGTGTTGAAAATGCTTGCGAATCTTGTTCCTAATGCTGAGTGCTGAAGATTTCCGAACTGGTTTCAGGTTGATGAAGGCGTATCTTGCCTTTCCAATTCTGGATGGCTGGCTTTGACATCTTCAGCCGTGCTCTCCGCCTGTGAATGATACGATGATTCCTAAATAAGTAAAGGAGGTAACCTCTGTTGAATCTCTCCCGTTAATGGTAATTGGTGCAGGTTGTTGTTGTTGCTGTTGGTTGGTTATCTTCACCTCCGTCTTTTCTACATTCACCCAGAGTCCTGTCTTCTGTGTCTGCTTCTTCAGCCAATTTGTTGGTTTTTGCCTGTAAGTCTTCGAGTTTGTATGACATTAGACATATATCATCCACGCGTGGAATCCAGATCTTCAAGAGTCTTCTTATTAGTGCTCCAGCGTATTCCTACCTCCTCGCTGCTATTGTACATTCTGATACATAATCCAGTGCACCACAATTAAGAATATCATCTCTGATAATAGGCAGGCATCCTTATCTTACTCCTGTATGCACTTCAAACAACTCTATGAGTTTTCCGTTGTAGATCATTTGACATGTGGCATTATCATAAAGCTGTTGAATGAAGTTGATAATCATTTGAGCAGTATTCACAATACAGAGTATAAAAATATCGTTTACACATCAAAGGAAATTTAAACCACAAATTAAATAATCAATATCTGACTGATTGCATGACCTTGAAGATCCTCCAAAAGTGACTAATCAAAAATCGTGCATTATTGATATAAGTATAAAACTTGGGCACTGTGGTAGAGTATAACTCCACACAGTGTTATACAGTAATAATAACTGATGACTTTTCGAGCACAAACTATTGCTCATAATCATATCAAGTTACTCACATGAATCGGTCATAACTTCATGGCTAACGAAGATAATCCGCCCTAATACCTTCCCTTCTTAATAGATTTTCAAATGAGGAGACACTGGATGATATCTGTAGGTGTGAGTACTCTCCATCCATGAATATTTCGATTAATGATTAGAGAAAGGCGAGTGAAGAGGTCCAAATAACGAGCCGTATACTTTCCTTAATAACTATTATCACTAATGCCTCATTATATTCATAAAATTCAGAACAACACATTTAAGCAAACAATATTTTGCTTTCAATTAGATCTCATCAGGCTTAACTCTAATATACATAAATTTACAAATAAATACTAAAATATAAACTAATCACGGTGTTTTTTTAATAAGATAATAAGATAGTGCGTATAAATTATGCAATTAGTCATAATACTACTACTATTAATAATGATTCTATCAGTAACAAAGATGATAAAGTGGAGCGACTTGTGATAATGAAAGGGATAATGAAAAACAGCATGATTAAACAAATAAATGTTCAGGTAGAAGTAGTTGATAAAGACCAAGAAAAATAAATGCTAGATTGTAGATGTTATAAGATTAAAGGGTGATAAGAGAGGGGTTGAAAATATAAGTACGGGGTGGGGGAGAAGTCATCAGTTGGTTGGGTTTTGAAAGGCCAAAGACGGGATAATGGCTGTACAAACTTCTTTCGTATGAATAGTTTAGGGGCTTAATAGTTTGAATGCCTATCGCCTCAGCTGTGTGTAGTAGACGAATACGAAGTCTATTGAGAAGATTCGGTGAGATGCGATGAATCATCACCTTGAAGGCTTTCGTTTTCTCCACTACATGACCACTATCAACTAAATGTGTCAAAATTGAGCAACGGATTGTTTTCGTCTGTCGTTTGACAAACCACGGTGGGAGATGTTCAGTAACACGTTGGCTAAGATGTCTACTAGTATGCCCATATTACTATCACCACGGGTGCAGTTGAACTGATAAATACACATAGATGTGACAAAACTATCAAGCTTATCCTTCGTTTGCGTCCCAATCATTCGTCGCCTAGAGAGCGACAAACATTCATAAAATGTTCATTGAATATTTCTCATTCCTGAATCTAAACATTTGAGTTTTTGAGATAATAATACTAAATCAACCATCAGAGAATACAAAAATATGATAGAAATAAATAAGATAAAAAAAATCAACCACTAATATCTTTTGTTTCGCAATCACTTAA